CTTTAAGGAATAGACTAAACAATTTCCATAATTGTTATCACTGTGTAGGAATTCAGTTTACAGGGTTTTCTCAGTCTTCACTCACTTAGCTTTTCTTTTGCATGTAGAATTTCTGCACAAGATGCACTCAAAAGAGCAATTTTATAAAAAAAACAATGATTTTTTTTTAACAAACAGAAGTGTCTTGTTTTTAGTTTRTTCTTCCTTCTGATCAGCTTTTTAAATGTCAGCATGATACATGTTTGCATCATGTGCTAAAAGGTGACTAAAAGGCAAATGTTTAAAGAGCATAACAATGCTTTATGTGTAGAGTTAGAGTTGTGTTTGCCTCTCAGTTTCAGTGTGTGTCCTCTCTGCTTGGTTAAAACCTTTCCTCTGTGTCTGCATGTGACTCTGACAGAGTGAGAAGGATCTTCAGCTTCCCTGGAGACTTACAGACGCAGTGAGAAGATGACTCTGGCAGGTAAATGCAGTCGCAGCAGAAACACACTCACCTCACACGACATTTACTGCTTATGCCAGAATAATGAGTTCAACTGGAATATAAATGTCATGTCACGGTGACTGGTAATATAATGATTCATTTCAGTAGACAGGAGAACATTTCTACACGAGTCGGTTTGAATAAATTAATGTTTTTGTGTCTCCTCAGCCTATAAAGAAAAGGTCAAAGAGCTCCCCCTGGTGTCTCTGTTCTGCTCCTGCCTGAGGCCACACACTGCAGAAAAAGCTACTTACAAAGCAGAAGGTAAGCCGTTAAATTCAGTATTAAAGATCAGAATGAGTTACAAAATTCTCAGCCAGAATCTACATTYCATTTTAGGTAATGAAAGAGTTTGATGAACACACACTTATAAGGCTGCAGAAGCCAGAAAATGCACAAATATTCATTTTTTGCACATTTTTTTTGACACAACCATCACCCAACCCTACAGACGCAGTGGACTTGGGCTGGTGCGTCATCAAAGATGTGGAGGTGATTGAGATAAACAAGCGGACATCGGGCCAGGCCTTTGAGGTCATTCTCAAGCCCCCTTCCTTTGATGGCGTGCCAGAACTCAACACCTCCATGCCGCAGCGCCGGGACCCTTCTCTGGAGGAAATTCAAAAGAAGCTGGAGGCTGCCGAGGAGAGACGGAAGGTGAAGGGGGGGAGGGAGAAAAGATGGTGTCACAACAAATACTAAACGAGCAGGCATTTAACCCATAACTTTAACCCTGAGTTGTWTTTGAGGCAGACACCTGTCGACACAATGTGTGATTAATCGGACGGAAAAAAAAAAAAACAAATGCTGGTGGAAACAGATGAAATCCATGTGAGAGGGGAGTGCTGGGGGGAATCGAAAGGCAGTGATGAATGTTTGAATTAAAGTACAAAAACAATCATGTGAGGACAAACACAATGAATCTTAGTAACGAAAACAACAGAATGAGGGACCAAGTCCCTTAGTCCTTTTCCTAAAACCAAGTATCACAAAAACTACAAGTTTTCTTTCGTTATATTCATGGTTATATTCAGGCGGTGTACTTGCATAAGCTCACAGCTGTAATGAAGTAAGAGACAAATGCTCACAGTTGTTTATTTAAAAAAATACAAAGATATGACATTTGTGAACACATTCCTAAGTGACGTTATTCAAACCATGGTCCCTGTGCTTTGACCGCAAGTAACAACACTGAGCTGCTTCTGCCACCTAACCCAGAATACATGTAGAAAGATCCAGACACTGAGGAAGACTGATCGGTACCAGTGGTGAGCCAGTCTTGTTTCCAGAAGTTGCAAGATGGCATGGCTCATCTGTGGCAGCCATGGCCAGAGGGGATGGAGGACTTATTTAATTACTTCAGTTCCATGTATGTCAGCTAAATGTTTGTCATGTTCAACAAGGACAAGTTCGACCTCCAACTCCACAACGATGGAACACTCCTCCGCAGATTGACATATCCACCAGGAATGTGCAGCAGGTCACCTTGGAGGGATATATACTGTATTTATTCAAGAATAATAAGTAAAATTAAATCCATAAAATCATCCATAAAGTTGGGGGGTAGTACTATACTCGGATAAATATTTTTACTTATGTATTTTAACTGAAATATTGGCTTCATTCACAAAATGCCTGAGTCCAGAAAAGACACCACGATGTAAAAAGCAGTTGAAGCGAACTTACCTCTGACACTCCTCCGTGCCTCAGAGTGAGATAGTAACAGATCCAGGCAGGCGACACGATGTGAGAAAAAGGGTAAAAAAGCAGTCCTGCACCTTAGTAATGATAACGAACTAATGACATTAGTGTGTGATTGGGCCACTGCTGGAACAACAACAAACACATGTGTGTCTGTTATGGCTGCCGTCTACCGGTGTTCTGAAAAAGTTTGTATCCCTGAAAAAAACGAGTAAACATTTCCCCACCAGAGGGGGCGCTCGTGAGTAGGAAGTAATCTTCTTTTCCCCACAAGATGGCCCAAATCTCATGTGAAGTCTCTGACTTGTGTTGGCGCATCCTGGTGGACTATGTGTAAAATGCCAGAATTCAAATGATGCTGCTACAGCTGATATACTGTATATTTGTTGTCAAAATACCTTTTAGTACATATGTTGTTAAAATAACATGAACAGTCCAATGATCATTTTACTGATATGTATAAAGACKRYAAAGDMTGAAAAATCTTGAAGTCTGTATGAAATTGGAGGTAGTTTGAGGATTAAAATTTTTTATGCTTTTTAAGCTCAAAAAGGGGGGGAGGTCGTACTATACATGAGATCGTATTATACACAAATAAATATGGCATATGCAGAGGTTAGAGAAGATGAATCTGTGATTGGAAGGTTGCCGGTTCAACTCCCCGGATCAACCAGCCCCACTTTGGGCCCTTGAGCAAACCCCTCAGCTGCTCCCCGGGTGCTGTAATTGGCAGCCCACTGCTCCACATGTGTTCACATGTGGGATAGTTAAAATGCAGAAAAGTAATTTCCCCACCAGTGTATAAAATAAAAATAAAATAATAACTAATAAAAATACAGGACAAATAATACAAGTTAGAGCTGGAATTCATTATCCTCCCAGCTATACCCATCCTTCTGAACTGCAATGAATAGTTTCATTGACAACTGTGCGTTGGTCAGCACACAGCTACTGCAACGCAACAGAGGGCAGACAATAGGTTCAAGAGACACAGTCATGAAGAGCTTTAAAAGTCTGGACCAGGACTTAGGTGAGCATAGATCACAGGAGGACTTCCTCCATGCTGTGAGGCACTGAGTCTTTGTGCTAAAAATCTCAAGCAATATTTTTAATCTCATGCAAATGCATTGCATATTTGCATTGTGATGTGTGTATAATGTATAATACGTTGTGCAGTAATTTAGTAAAAGACAGTTGTGAACTATTTCAGAGCTAGGCCAAACAATTTAAAGAAAACATCAAAACTTGAGATAAATGAAATCTCATGTTCAGGTATTTAGGCACAATGGGCCTCATACAAGAACCGTTCGTACGCACAGATTTGTTCTTAAGTTGTGCGTACGAGTGATTTAGGAGAATTTGTGGCATTCACCAATG